CCCAGGTTTTCGCCTCTTTCCCATAGGGGGATGGCGCGTTTCCGTTCAATAATATTTACTCCTCCCACTGCCCCGCCCCTCCTTTTACAAAGGGGCAGTGAGAAATGAATTGGGAATTTCCTCTGTAAGCTGATGTGAGCAGCTTTGTAAGGGAGAGAGAGTTCTTCACATCCCTGAAGGTGGGGGTGTGGGGTGGGGGTGGGGTGGGGTGGGGGTAGGAGAGGTTTGGGCATTGTTGATGCCCATCCACAGCAGGTGTTTCCCAGAGCTGGAATTCAGATAGATGGCGTTGGCTTGGCTGGCTCTGGAGCCTTGGCACAATGAGCTCCACTGCTTTCTGCCTCCTTTCTCTCCACACTGCCCTCCCCACGCACCCCTCGCCACCTCCTCCTCCTCACATAACCAGAGGTGAGTCTCTTATTCACAGGCCAGATGGAGGTCATTGCTAGAAAGTGCTAGGTCAGGGAGCGGTCTTTATTTAGTGGTTCTCTGAAAGAACCACTCTTTTAGTCTCTTTCATTCTCTGAAAGAGACTGGCAGGCCCAGAATCTGCAGGGCAGATTGGCCGGAGACCCAGGGGAGAGTCGATGTTGCAGCTCAAGTCCAAGGACTGTCTGGCGGCAGAATTCTTTCTCCTTGGGGGGAGGGGAGGGGGCCTCAGTATTTTTCTCTTCAGGCCTTCGATGGATTAGATGAGGCCCACCCACGCTCTGAAGTTTTTCTCCAAGTCTACTGACTTTCATGTTAAGCTCATCTAAAGAGTACCTTCACAGCCACACCTCGCCTAGTGTTTGACCATATCTGGTGCCAGTGCGGTGACATGGCCTCACCGGGTTGTCGGATAAGATTAACTATCACATCTACTGGGGTGCCTGGGAAGGCACTAACAGAGATGGGAGAGCCCGATCTCTGCCTCAAGGAGTCCAGACTGCATGTGAAAGACATAGGAACAACTTGGCTTATATTTAGGTGCTATCTGATAAGGATGAAATGTAAAAGGATGAAATGTGAGAGGAAAGTGTGGGGGGGGGGGGTTTCTAGGTGCTTCCACAGTAAGCATTTTTGCCTTAAGTCCATTTCACTGTAAAAGATAAAAACGACACCATCCAGAACTGAAATATCATTGCTGACATGTACACATAAGGAACTATTTGACATTGAAATTGGGACTCAAAAGACCTGTTGGCCCAGAAAGAAACTCACTACAGACTGATTCATTTTCCTCTCAGCATAACCATTATGGCTTGTCTCATTTTCGATTCTTGTAAGTGTATTGCTAGTGACACATGATCTCACTCATCTGGGGGAAATAATGAACATCATAAACTGATGAACAAAAACAGACCCGGAGACAGGGAAGCATCGATCAGATTGTCAAACCTCAGAGGGAAGGTAGGGGAGGGTGGGGGTGAGGGGGAGAGATCAACCAAAGGACTTGCATGCATGCATGCATATAAGCCTAACCAGTGATCCCGGACAACGGAGGGGGGGGGGGGTTGGGATGGGAATGGGGGGATGAGGACAAATATGTGATACCTTAATCAATAAAGAAATAAAAAAGAAATGACTAGTTGGTAGTTTGGCTTACAATTTGGAAGGCATCATGTGTTTAACCTAGATGTGAGTTTGGTTTCATTTCTCCACAGACCAAGTTCTCACAGTTACTCCCCTTTGTGTATTACATGTAATCTCAGCCCTTGTAATGGTCTGTACAGTGACGAGTAGTCGTGGTGGCCTTAAAGTAGTGGATGATGACAAGTATGTAGAAAGCAGATTATAAAACAGCCTGGGAAGCCAGATTTCATCCTGTTATAGAAAAGGATCACGCATCAGTTTACAAATCCTTTGGGAACCACACTCAGCCCTCACACCCATCAACACCAACAGTTATTCAAGCTCTGCAAATACCAGGGAGCTGGCTGCTGATTCACAACAGTCTGCGAGGGCATCACCGGTTCTTTAGCTGGAAACAGACCTCTCTTAATGAAGGAAGAAATTGTGGCGGAAAGAGAAAAAGTGTGATGCTACACGAGGAGACGAATCAACAAGCAAATAAACTTGGAAGACGTGAAAGACGATTATTTTCATTTTGTGCAATAAAGTCCTTTTAATTTTTCATGTTTCATTGTGTCCCTTTTTATGCCCCTCTTTAATCTTTTATTATTTTTTTACAGCAAAATTGCCTTGTGGCCAATTAGCTGTGCTGCAAAAATGATTGTGGCAAAGAGGTTTACAGCAAAATGTGTGTGGCAAAAATGCCAGGCGGGCTCTAGAATCCAGGGAGATTTCGTGGTTGGGATTGGACAGGGGCTTTCAGAACAGGGAGGTCTCAGATAAGTGAGGACACAGAAGACTAGAACCAGAGTGGGAACAACAGGGTGATAATAATCATGCTAGTTAGTTTCTTTAAAAACATGTTTTTATTGATTTTAGATAGAGGGGAAGAAAAAGAAAAACATCGATTAGCTGCCTCCAATATGCCCCTACTGGGGATTGAGCCCACAACCCAAGCATATGCTCTGACCAGGAGTCCAACCAGTGACCTTTCAGTGCCTGGGAGAATGCCCAACTGAACCACACCTGCCAGGGCAATACCCAGTTCTCATGTGCCCCTAGGTCTCTGAGTTTATTGAGGATTTTCACATGCATTGTTTCATGTGATGGTCATGAAAACCCTGTTTTGTTTTTAACTTATCATTGCAGTTGACATTCAATATGATATTAGTTTCAGGTATACAGGGTAGTGATTAGGTAGTGATTATATAATTTATGAATTTGTCCCCCTGATAACTTTAGTACCCACTTCACACCTTACGTAGTTATTACAATATTATTATTATTATTATTATTATTATTAAAGCATATATTTTTATTGATTTCAGAAAGAGGAGAGGAAAGGAAGAGAGGTATAGAAACATCAATGTTGAGAGAGAAAAATTATTGATCAATTGCTTCCTGCACGACCCCTACTGGGAATTGAGCCCACAACTGGGCATGTGCCTGACCAGGAATCAAATCGTTCCTAGATTGACACTCAGCCACTGAGCCACGCTGGCTGGGCTGTTATTACAGTGTTATTGACTCTGTTTCCTATGCTGTACTTTGTATGACTATTTTAAAAATAATATTTAAAAATTTATTTTAGAGAGAGAGGAAGGGAGGGACAGAGAGAGAAACATTGATGAGAGAGAAACATCAGTTGACTCCCTATTGGGGATTGAGCTGGGAGCAACCCTGGCAGGTGCCCTGATGGGGAACTGATCCAGCGACCTCTCCGTGCATGGGATGACAGGATGATGCTCAGCCAACTGAGCCACACCGGCCAGGGCTTTTTTGTTTTGTTTTTAATAAAGTATTCTCAAGGCCCAGAGAGGTTAAGGGACACATCCAAGGTCACACAGCTTGCCAGTGGCAGGCCTTCCTACTCTAAATCCTGTGTCTCATCCTTACCGCCATGGCTGGGTATAATGGAACCCATGTGAATGTGTGTGTGTCTGGGAGGGAGGAGAGACGAGCAGTGAGCAACCCAGAAAGGCGAGAACCGTGCTTTCTTCATCAAGGAATCCTGTGACACGATGAAAATGGGCTGTTTTCTCTCCCTCTCTCTCTCCGGGTCCCTCTTTACCGCCTCACTAATGCCCCCCTCTTCTTGTCTTGTTGCCCTCCCACAGACACGGATGCAGAGTTTGAATCCAGATCCCAAAGCCCAGTACACAAGCATCTACGGAGCCCTCAAGAAAATCGTCCGGACTGAAGGCTTCTGGAGGCCTTTGCGGGGGATCAACGTGATGATCATGGGCGCGGGGCCGGCCCACGCCATGTACTTTGCCTGCTATGAGAAAATGAAAAGGACTTTAAATGCCGTTTTCCACCACCACGGAAACAGCCACATAGCCAATGGTATTTGAAAGCGTTTGTCTGCAGTTAGAAAGTTCTGTCCTCAACAGACCCTTCCCCCAGCAGCCTGACGCCTCGTCTCCGCCACGCTTGCTTATGAATAAAGAACTCCAGCGCCGAGTGTGTGTGCGCACACACCCCCAGACACATGCACATGCACACACACATGCTTTTTTCCGTTCCCCTTCTTCGCTCTCTGAAGGCTGGGGAGATTGGTGACAGAGGTGTTTCCGTTTTCATTGTTGTATGGGTTTTTCACTTTTTCCTTTTGTTTTTGTGTCTTTTTTTTTTTCTCATGTTTTTTTTATTTTTATTTTTTAACACATTCAAAAGCCATTAATGATCAGATCTAGGAAAACCACCCTGAATAGACACAAAACTTTTGAATGCTGGATTCAAAAAAAAAAAAAAAAAAAAAAAGTTGTCTGGACAGCTTCTTTGAGACTATTTAAAAAAAAACTGGTTCAACAGGTCTCTACAACGTCAAGATGTAACTAAGCTTTAAAAGGTCAAGAAGTTTTATGGCTGACAAAAGGATTTGCTCCAGCTGCAGACGGCCTTCCCGCCTTAAGCTCCTGGGGGTTTGGGAATGTCACCCCCACTCTCTTCTGTTTGTTTGCATCTCTCTGCGATCCAGGGCTGCAGTAGTTCTGTTGTTCGGGAGCTGGGTGGGAGGGCAACTCTTTCCTAGATGTGCCTTCCTGAGCCCACTGGGGGGGGGGGGGGGGGTGTTGCTTGTCCTGTGGGGTTTGGCTTTTTTAGTTTCTGTGTGGGTGTGGAAGGGGCGGTGGATGGCAGTGCTCTCATTTTAACAAAATTGATTGTTCAACGATGGAGAGGTAGAGGTGACCAGCGACAATTTCTTTTTTCCCTTCTCTTTTCTGTGCAGAACCCAAAAGTGTCCTTCCCATCAGCCAAATTGGTAGTAATAGCTCCGTCTGGCTGGTGTGTAGACATCTGTTTTGCTTTTTATTTTTTAAAAATATATTTTATTGATTTTTTTACAGAGAGGAAGAGAGATAGTTAGAAACATCGATGAGAGAGAATCATCAACCGTCAGCTGCCTCCTGCACACCCCCTACTGGGGAGGTGCCCAACCAAGGTACATGCCCTTGACCGGAATCGAACCTGGGACCTTTCAATCTGCAGGCCGACACTCTATCCACTGAGCCAAACCAGTTTTGGCTGTTTTGCTTTTTAAAAACCTGGCATGAATTGCATTTATTGAGATGGTCACTGAGAGCCTCCTCTGAGGCCATCCCTGAGTTCAAGGCTCTCCTTTTGCTGAAACTGCCTTACGTAATGACTGGTTTAGCTCCTTGGTCACTGGACCCCTTGACTGCAGTTTGATGGTACCCGGTTGATGCCAAGTTATGCCAAACAGTGCCCAGTTTAGGCCAGGATCTGCCCAGCTGTGCCCGCTTCCCTGTGGTGTGTGCTCTGGTTGACTGCCCTTTGACCTCTCTGGGGAGCCATCAGTGTGTGTGGAGGGAGGGGGGGTGGATATATATACTGCTGGAACCTTATCCTGGGGTCCCTGGTTCCTTTCACCTTCCAGCATTCATCTTAATTACGGGGCATGCGAGCCACCGAGGAAGAGACCCAAATCCCAAAGGGAAACCCCGGGCCTGAGCCAGGATGCTGAAACTCCTGGTGTTTGAAGCCAGGTGGTTGGCCCTAGACAAGTCATGTCTTGGCAAATTAGCCCTGAACAGCTACCAGATGCAGGTCTTCCTGGCCTCTTCCCATGCCCTAGTGCCTAGGTCAGTGGTTGGCAAACCGCAGCTCGCGAGCCACATGCGGCTCTCTGGCCCCTTGAGTGTGGCTCTTCCACAAACTACCACGACCTGGGCGAGTCTGTGTTGAAGAAGTGGTGTTAGAAGAAGTTTAAGTTTAAAAAATGTGGCTCTCAAAAGAAATGTCAACTGTTGTACTGTTGATATTTGGCTCTGTGGACTAATGAGTTTGCCCACCACTGGCCTAGGTCTTACTAAGACATTTTCTTAAAGATTTCTTTCCCGGTGTTTTCTCCCTCTCAGCCGTGTGCATGGTGTCGCTCCCTCTGATTGCCCCCCGTGTAAGTGCAGAGCGAGTTCATGGGGTAGACCCAGGCGAGGGACACACTAGCATTAAGACCTAGACTGTGGGAAAAGCCACAAGGTGTGTTTTCTGGGCACCATCCAGCGTTAGCAGGTCTAACCTTTGCCCAGGATTGACCGCCAGAGAGAAAATGAGGTTCCCCCAAGACGAAAACGTGGGTACCTGGGCCTCTTCCCGGCCCCATTGTCCTCTAGTATGTCCATGATTACTTCAGGGTTTAAGAGTCGGCGCACACCTGGGTGGAGTTGGCAGTGGATTTGCTGCTTAGGAAGCTGTGCCCAGGTTCCGTCTCACTGTAGGTCCCAGAACTTTCTCCGAGCGCCCGGTCCCAGAGGGTAATTTTCTGGAGTTTGTTTTGCAGGCATAGCTGGGAGTATGGCCACCCTGCTCCACGATGCAGTAATGAACCCGGCAGAAGGTAATGTTTCCGGCCCCAGGGGGCGGCAGGGGGAGGTCAGAGGGGCAGGAACGGCGGTTGGGGGGGGGGGGTTGGGGGGGGGGGGGATGGAAGGTCGGGCAAGAGGACTCCTGGTCCCTAGGCAGAATAAGCAACAGACCTTTTTTTTTTTTTAAACCACATTTTATTAAAGGGCTCAAGAAGGGGCACTAGTATTTGAGCTTCTGGTATTCCTGTTCTCTTAAGCAGAATTACTCAGGGTGTGATCTGGGGACTAGTAGCCACCAGCATCTCCTGGGAGCATATTAGAAAGGCACATTTAAAAAAAAATTTTTTAAAATATATTTTATTGATTTTTTTTTCAGAGAGGAAGGGAGAGAGAGAGCTAGAAACGTCGATGAGAGAGAAACGCCTACCGGGGATGTGCCCGCAACCAATATACATGCCCTTGACTGGAATCGAACCTGGGACCCTTCAGTCCGCAGACCGACGCTCTACCACTGAGCCAAACCGGTTTCGGCAGAAAGGCACATTTTTAGATCCCACCCGGGTCTACTCAATCAGAACCTGGGGGTGTGGGGGGTGGGCAGGGATGGGACAGGGAATTGCCCTCCTGGTGAGTCTTTTGCACTAGTCTGAAATCATGGTACACACACACACCTCTGGCCCTTGTCAACCTTTCTCGGCCTTAGACACATTTGGGGGGGGACACACATGTCCAAGGCAGTTCATGGAGGCTTATGTTCAATTTGCTTTTTTTTTTTTAAATGTGTGTTTCGTGCTTTTTTTTTTTTTAATTTCAGAAAGGAAGGAAAAGGAAGAGAGAGAGAAACATCAGTGATGAGAAGGAATCATTGATTGGCTGCCCTTCTGGGACTGAGCCCCCAACCCAGGCATGTGCCCTTGATGGGAATCGAACCCAGGACCCTTGAGTCCACAGGCCGATGCGCTATACATGGAGCCAAACCAGCTAGGGCTCAATTTGCTTTTTGTAAAAGGAAGTTGAAATCATCATGGAACATTTCAAACATGAGTAGAGATGAGAATATTCTGAATCCCCCTGTAGGCGTTGCTCTATTCCTAAGCGAACATCTGGCTGGTTTGTTTAGCTGTCTCCTCCCACGTTACCTTGTGGGCTTTGGGAGCACTGAGAACAGCTCCCAGCGGTGCAGACTCCCCACCGGGGCTTTTCCTGTGTCCCAGTGGCTCACCCACTGGTCTGAGCCCGAGGAGCTTTGGGAGCTGGTGCTGGGCCTGCTCCCGCCGGGTTAGGCTCCGTGAGAGGAGGGCCTCCCTCCTCCTCTCTCCCCAGAAAACGACCCCTTTCCAGAGGGGGCCTTAGAGGCATAAATGCCAACATTTTAAATCTTGCTGACAAGTTTGTTTCCTAAGGTTAAAATGTCTTATTTGTAATCAGCTGCCTTCCAGGTCCCAGCACCCGGGGGACTTGCTCTGTCCTTCAGGGACGTAACGGGCCCGACAGGGAGGCGGGCTTCTCTGTGTGCGAGTTTAAGGCGATTCATCAGGGGGCCTGGCCAGTGACCAGTTAGCGCATGCCCACCAGGTGAGAACTGTGTTTGCTTCTCAAAGGAGCAGAAATCCAGTGTCCACCCCCACCTCTTCTTGACATCGTGTTGACTGACAGACTTCATTCCTTTAAAAACAAAAAAAAAACATACTGTGTGTTCACTTGGGCAATGGGTGGGGATGGCTCCAACTCCCACGAGGGACCACTGTGGCCCTCATCTGCCTCGTGGCCCTTGACCCACCGTTACTTTTGTATGAACAAAGCAGGGGTCTTCCCTGGAGTTTGTCAGTGAAGTGGGCTGGCATAATTTTAGCGTCTCCCCAGAGCACTGTGACACAGAAGCTAATGACACAGACAGATAGGCAGACAGACCAGGAAAGGAAAGAGGGGACACGTGTCCAGGAGGGTAGGGGCAGGATTCAGATTTGGGGTGGGAGCGGGGCCCGCCTGGAGCTGGCCCTCTGTGGTCTCCAGCTGGGGCTGCGTGTGCGTGCTCTGCGTGTTGCCAGCGTGTCTAAACTTGCTTGTTTTTCTTTATGGCCTGGCTTCCCATTGCACTCTGACCCGGGGTGGGGCCAAACCAACCCACTGCCCCCTGCCTGTGGTTCCACCGTGCCCACCTGCAGTTGTGAAACAGCGCATGCAGATGTACAATTCGCCACACCCGTCGGCCCTCGGCTGCATCCGTTCGGTCTGGAGGACCGAGGGCCCACGGGCCTTCTACCGGAGCTACACCACGCAGCTGACCATGAACGTTCCCTTCCAGTCCATCCACTTCATCACCTACGAGTTCCTGCAGGAGCAGCTCAACCCCCACCGGGGCTACAACCCACAGTCCCACATCGTCTCCGGCGGGCTGGCCGGGGCCCTGGCCGCGGCCGCCACCACCCCCCTGGACGTCTGCAAGACCCTCCTCAACACTCAGGAGAACATGGCCCTCAGCCTGGCCAATGTCAGCGGCCGGCTCACGGGCATGGCCAACGCCTTCCGGACGGTGTACCGGCTCAACGGCCTGCCCGGCTACTTCAAGGGCATCCAGGCCCGCATCATCTACCAGATGCCCTCCACTGCCATCTCCTGGTCGGTCTACGAGTTCTTCAAGTACTTCCTCACCAAGCACAAGCTGGAGAGTCGGGCTCCCTACTAAAGCAACGGGCTGTGGGCCGTGACTCCAGAATCTTGTATTTCTAAAAGGGTTTTCCCTGCCTGCTCCCCTTCCTGCGCCCTCCCAGCGGGATTGTTTTTGCAGGGAGTTCTCAGGGGGTGGCCTTCCGTTCCCCCGACTGACGCCTTGGAGAGCGGAGAGGATGGGACAGCCGCCTAGCAGAGGCTGTCCACCTACCGGAGGCCTATCGAGGTGGTAGGAGGTGGGGAAAGGCTTTGGAAGGAGAGCAAGAAGTGGCTTTCTCTGTCCTCCCCTAAGAGGGGTGTAGCTCTCCTGCCTCCCCGTGGCAGGCCCCGCCCGCCCCTGGGGTCATAGGTCACGCAGAGGGGGAGAAAGTGTGCATGGCTGAGAACCATGAGAGCGAAAAGAGCACATTATGTATATAAAAGTTCTAGGACACAGTATAAAATGGATGGATAATGTTTTATTCTTTATTTTTCTACGTAGAGGTTTTTGGATTTGTGTGTGTGTGTGTGTGTGTGTGTGTGTGTGTGCCTGTGTGTGTATGGATAAGTGTGACAGCTAGGGATGCAAAGCTGATTTTAAAAAAGAGGGCTGAAGTCTTCCATTGGGTTAGGGCTATGGTCGGCAAACTGTGGCTCGAGAGCCACCTGCGGCTCTTTGGCCCCTTGAGTTTTTAGCAAAGGCCAGCTTAGGAGGACCCTAATTAAGTTAATAACAATGTACCTACCTATGTAGTTTAAGTTTAAAAAAATTGGTCTCTCAAAAGTAATTTCAGTCATTGCACTGTTGATATTTGGCTCTGTTGACTGAGTTTGTCGACCACTGGGTCAGGGGAAAAGGCACCAAAGTAATAAATTGCTAAATGTGGCCTAAAGTCGCGTTGAGCCCCCAAATGGGAGTTTCACTTGAATGTAAAATAATAAATATGTTTATATTTTTGAATTTCTCTTTTTATGGCGTTTGGGGGAAAGGTACATTGGGGGGGGAAAAACACACACACACACACCAACAAACACTATGGATCTTTCAGCTTACTTTTATTTTTCTTCTTTCATTCATTCAGTTATGTTCATGTGCCTTTAGCCTTTGTCTTTCCTTAAAATTCTGGGACCAGAGACCTGGGCCTGCGACATTCTCTTTTGCTGTGGGCACACACATCCATGCCGGGTCACCCGGAAGAACAGTGGCCCCAGCAGGATTGGAATGATGAGGCTCATGCCTGCGAGACCATCTCCTTCCCGGGGACAGAACATGCTCGGGAAAATGGAAGCCCGTGAAATGCCAGCGTCTGGCTACTGGCTGGCATCTGTCCTGCCATTTCCTAGGACTTCTTTCCACATCCACCTTCTCACCCGGCGCCTCTGGAGCTCCTGTTTGTGTGTGCTTTGGCTCAATCTCCTGACCTGTTTCCCTGGGCAGGGTTAGGGATTTGAAAACACATAGCAAGTACATGGTGTTTGCCTCTCTCCGCAGTGACAGGCCCAGACCCTCATGCACAAGTCAGGATGCCTCTGGAGCCTCGCTCAGCCCCCATAGGTCCTCATCAGTGGAGAACACGGGGCCTAACGCCCTGGTTCTCTGTGATGGTGAGTCCGAGCCAAGCTATCACGGAGAGAGGGCGGGCCTGTTCCTCTGGCTACGGCTTTCCATTGGCTGCCAGACTTTCAAGGGATGACCTAATGGCCTCCTTTCAGAGCCTGGCTTTTTTTTCTTTTTCTTTTTTTTTTTTCTTAAAGGAGCTGAGCACAGTGTGCTTCATTCCTGCAGGCCTGGTCCAGCCTTGGCCCTTAGCCCCAGGCAGTCAGTGCTGAGCTGTGCACTGCGGCTCAGACCTGGCTCCTATAACTTACTGGGAAGAAGCCAAGTGGCACTGGGACAGTTTTCATCTTGGGACCCTGCCTGTGTGGGGAGTCTCAGATGAGGGACAGGGAGGGCGCTGTGAGCTGGGCCATCCCCCTGGGTGGGGGTCAGCTGCTGGCCTGTCCCAGCTCAGGGGTTCACCCCCCGGGGACACCACTTCCCGCCAGCATCTGCCCCCACTGGCGTGCAAAAGCCCTTGGAGACCATGTTGCTATGGCAAGTGTTTACGACTCTAAACACGTCCTGTGTTTCGGTTGAATTCTGTGAATGGAAAAAACATCGAATTCTGAAATAGTTACCCAACCACCCCTTTGGTCCACTTAGACTCGCCACCTTGTTGCACCATGTTGCTTACTTCTTGCAGGCTTTGGTGTTTGCTGTTATTCAGAGAAGAAGCTGCTGACTTCTCTGGGGAAACCCCTTAGGGCAGGCGAGGCCAGAAGCAGGAGGGAGTGGCGTGCAGAGCTCTGGGCTCAGGTGGGGGTCTGAGCCCCACGGTGCAGTGGATGGCATAGAAGTGGGGGTGAAGCCACCTGCCCTGCCTTCCCCAGCAGGTCTCCCTGGGGCTGCATGAGCACTAAACAAATGCCAGTGATCGCTTATTTTTGTGGGAATTGATTGCCCCCCTTCCCTGCTAGTCCTGAGCTCCAAAGTTTGTGCTGTTGCCTTGTGCCGACTGTGGTCCCTTTGTTGGTTGTGACTTCGTGGTTGTGAAGCAGTGACTAGGAGAGAGTCCTCCCGCCCCAGGGACAGCCACTCGGCACAGCTGGCGTGTCCTGGGTGGGTAGCGTCGTCGGAGTGACCTCTGCAGGCAGCCAGAGCCTCCTGAGTGCAATGCACACCTCTGAGCGCGTGTGCGCATGTGTGTGTCAGACGTGATCGGAGAGTCACCCACTTGCTCAACATCATCAGTTGTTTTTTTAATAAAACCGATTTTTTTTTTCCAATCCAGTCCATGGCTATATTTTTTAAATTCTGGATTAAACCTAGCTCTTTCCTGGCCCACATCCTTTTGTATGGTTTCTCTTTCTTTTTTCTTATTTTTTAAATGCTGATGTCTTATTCCCAGCCCTGTGCCCTGAAGGCTGCATCTCCAGTAACTTTATTTAAGGATGATTGTGCTTGTTAAAGGTGAAGGCACTGCTGCTTCCTGCCGGCCAGACACAGTGAACGTTATAAGGGTGGTGTTTCTGCCTCAATCGTCGCCCGCAGTTTGAAGGGGAGACGTGTGTGTTCATGGGAGGAAGCGGGGGTTCTGATGGGCTGCTAACGCTGGAATGCTGGAGCCAGAGACGAATAAAACCTTGGTGTTTGAGGTGCTGTGGGCTCGGTGTGGGAATCCTGAGTGTGAGGAACGCGGGTGGAGAGCAGAGACGCACCTGTGGGGCGTGCCCATGGCAGTCTCGTGCACCAAGGACCGGGGTCTGTGGTGCTGACGGAAAGGTCCATTTCCATTCTTTTGTCCAGATGGAAGCAGAGTGTCCTGGCGGCCAGCCCAAGGTCACCCTGCAGGGAGGGCAGCAGCTGTTCTCGTGTGGGAGCATGAGCGTGACAGGCCCCGGTGCACAGAGTGCTCATGCCCGTTCCTCTCACATGCACACCCATGACCCCTCGGGAGGGTCCGAGTCCCTCTGTGTGGAAGGCCCAGAACCGATCCTTTTCTGGGGAGAGTGGGGCAGGGGCTGGGGGCGTCTCAGACCCCTCGGGGAAGCCAGGATGGCTCTCATTCTTCACGTGGTCCTGGAGGCCGGAGCACCCACTTCCCGGAGGGCCTCGGCACCCATGGCCAGGTGCCTGGAGGTGGGACGGGGGCCGATCAGAGGGTGAGGAAGGCTGGAGCTACACTTCCTGCTTGGCAGTTACCGAAGACCAAGCTTTGCTTCTCAAAGCTGACTCGGGACTTGTAGCTGCTTCTGCGAGGGAGGGAAGGGGCAGGTGTAGGAGGGCCCGCCTGCTCCCAGCGAATGTGGATGCATTCAGCATGTGGTCCCCGTCTGCCCCACGGAGTCAGTCTGCCGCCAAACTCTGTGCCTCCCGTGACCGGGCACGGGGCTGGCGTTGTGGGGAAAGAGGCAAGTGCAAGGTTGGGTTCTCCCCCTCCCAGGCCTGTGACTGGACCCAAGGCCATCTGGGAAGACCAGACTTCCTTGAGGCAATCAAACCTCGCCCACCAAGATGCCATGGATACCATGGAAGTGCCAGCTGAAACTTAGTGTTCACAAGGTGTTTCCTCACCAAGGGGAAAAAGCAAGGGTTGCAACCCAGTGCGTGCAGACCTGGTAAGCCTCAGGCACACCCTGGTGTATGGGCCACAATGGAGGGGTGTTTAGCCACGGGGAAGGGAAGTTCAGGGAAGGGAAGTTAGAACCAGAGAGACTCCACATGGGCATAGAGCTCCTGGAGAGTTCTCGAAGGCCCAGCCCTTCCCATAGACCCTCTGGGCGGATTGTGTTTTCTTAAGTTCCAGTTAGTCTTTATCAGAAGTAGAACAGTGACGTGATCCCGTTGACACGCTTGCCCATCCGTTCGTGGCTCTGTCCCACCAGTGGCGGGCTGGAGCCACGCCTGCCCAGCCCCTGGAGCAGCTGGTCGGCATCCCTCCCCAGCTTCGCATCCAGTCACATGCTGCTGGCAGGAAACCAGCAAATGTGGGCTTTTCAGAAATAGACAAGTGCCAGCATCAGGGCTCTTTGGAAGCCAGTATTGCACAAGAGAGAGACGACCACTGGGAGGCAGTAGAGCTGGGCTAGTCCTGCGCCCAGGGAAAGGAGACTTGTCTCAGTGATGGTGACGAGCTGAGGTGAGAGCTGGGCTGCCCTCACAGGAGTTTGACCTTCAATAGGCAACGGGGAGTCCCTGGGGTCTCCCTGCAGAGGACATCGTGGCCGGGGCTCAGCTTCAGGAAGGCCGTCTGGCAGAGCAGACAGGGCGGAGTGGAGAGGGACACAGAGGAGGCCAGGTGTTCTGTGTCACAGCGGGATCGTCCAGAAGAAGGATGACTAAGGGAAAGGCAAGGGACACTGGAACAGATTAAGTGCGACTGATGAGTGCAGAGGTGGGGTCAGCATAGATTGGCGGGGGCCTGAGGGTAGGGTGGGATGACAGCAGGCTGGCTGGGAGGCGTGGCAGGTGGTGCCTTGTCTGCAGACTCTGATCCTCCCCCTCCTCTCCCCTCCCCTCCCCGTAGTACTCATTCTCCCTGGACAGGTGCAACCCGCTCTTGCTCCCTTTCTTGGCTTCCATTTCTCTGCCCTCCAGGCCGCCCGTGGGGACTCCCTTTGGCTCCTCCCACCAGCTGCACTTCCTTCCTGGTCACCGCAGGGTGGCTGCTTGGGAAGGTCCCGCCCTTGCACCTGCTGTCATCCCACCTCTTGGTGCTGATCTGTCCTCTCAGCCTCCACTGGAAAGATGATTCCTAGATGTGGATGTAGTACTCCATCTTCTCTCCTGGGCTCCCATCTAAATGTCCAGGCGCCTGCTCGAGATCACCCAGATCTCCACTCCTGTCCCCCCTGCGTGTCCCCCACCCCCACACACACCCAACCCCGGACTCCTGCCTGTAAGCTTCCAGGGACTTACCATGTTGCTCACTGGCTCAAAATATTTAAGGGCTCCTCATTGTCCATCGAATTTGGGAATAGGCTTCCCTACCTAGGCCAGTGCCCAATTTAGCTCCACGAGTGACAGAATAAAAGTATGAAGTGAAGGGAGGAAAAGACCATATGAAAATGCAAAAGAAAAGGCTGGTATCAGA